CAACGACTTATATATAATTTGAAGAACACACGTGGATTTACAATGATATATATATATATATATACTTTTACTGTTATATATATGTATATATATATATATATATATATATATATATATAATATTGAGTGTAGGTTGCAGTATGTCTCGATAAAATATAAAAAGGAAACGATTACACAGAGTAGAAACGTAAACGTAAATAACTATGTTATGTCTATAATGTTATGTCTATAATTGACCTCTGTGTCGAATGTTGTATCCGCTTATATAGAGTGTAAAATGCATTGTGTGGGTGTGTGAGGTATGTATATTTACTTACACGTCATATATTGATGCTTCTGACATACCCATGAGGGCGGTAGCAACCAACATGATGAACATAAATCGACCACTGGACACGTGAATTAATGCTACACGTGATCTAAGTGCGTCCGATCCGAATTTGGGAAACAACAGGAACGTGAAACCAATAATAAGCTGAAATATAACATCAGTTCAAAATGTATTAGTTTGAGCGTGTGTCCATACGTAATTGGGCTATTTCAGTAATGATGGACTTGATATCCAGGAGAATTAAAGAAACACATGGAACATAGGCCTACCTACAACGGGAAAAGTTTTATGTCCCTGGGATACGCTAATAATACGTTTTCTTGAATATATTTGTCTGTACTTGCTAATGTGCTTATAATTATACTAACTGCTTACTTCTCATCATTCGCAAGATGATAGCATAGGCCTGTAGTCACTTGCGTTTAGGTAATAATATGAATAGGCCTAGGCTTTTGAAATTGCCTCCTTACCTGTAATCCATAGAGCGAAAATGCAGTGATCCCCACCCAGCTATGCGGATGGTACATGTCGGCCCATCCCTGAGTTTTATGATACTTAAAAGTAGCAACTAGTGCTACAGTAGCTAACATGAAGGCAAATGCTTGGATGCCACCGTGGATCAGTTTGACTACAGGTCTTGGAAGCTGAATTCCAGTTGCCACCATCACTCTATAGGTAATTGCACCTGAAATATTATTATAGTAATCATCAATAGGCCTATTATTTCAAATTGTCATAGTCAATATTATAATCATTTTTTTTCTCGTTTTGTTGCTACTTTTACTGTTCAATGTTATTGACATTGTTATCATTAATCATTATTTAATTAGTGTTAAATTTGTTGATAGTGTGATTTACCAACTGCTACCTATAAGCTATTATTTACGTTTAAGAATTTGCTCCATTATGTGTGAGCCCTTAAGTTGTATGAATGAAAGAGAAACTAGTCGTCTTAGATCCGAAATAATACCGTACGGGCCTCTGTGGTCTAAACGGTATGACGCTCGCCGCGATAGCAAGAGATTGCGGGTTCGATTCCAACCAGAGACCTTTTTTCCATTGTGAAAGGATGTAGCACGTTGTTCCATAATAAATATAGTAAACAAAAATAGTCAACCTGAATTGTTTTTATTGTCATCGCCTTCGCCACTATTTTATTTGTTCACCATTCAACAGCAACGTATGTTGCCACTTACAGATTTGAA